TCTCCTGTTGCGGAGCACAGGCTCCGGATGCGCAGGCTCAGCAGTCATGGCTCACGGGCCCAGCCGCTCCGCGGCATGTGGGATCTTCCCAGACCGGGGCATGAACCCCTGTCCCCTGCATCGGCAGGCACACTCTCAACCACGGCGCCACCAGGGAAGCCCCATCCTTAGACTTTTAACAGGATTCTCCACATTAAAATTGTAATAAACATTTATGTGGCCAACTCCATCCCTCCTTTCCCAACGGAGTTGGTGTTTCTTTTATGCTTACACACAAAGAGGCTAATACTTTCTTGTACCTGCCTGTCCCCATCCACACCACAGCCCCATGCAGATCCCACCTGTGTGCCCAGGACCAGCCTCTGCAGACCACCTGGGGCTGTTTCAGAGGGAGGTGAAGCACAGGAAGCAAGCGTGGCGCTCCATCCCTATCGTCAAGTCCCCCAACCTTCTGGATGCCAAAGAGCCAGCGAGGTGACTCCCCAAGCCCCCTGCCTGGCCACCTCGCCTTATGTGTAGGGGCTACAGCAGGACGCATTCTGTCCATGGTGAAGGGATGCACCCTACCTGGGTGAGCACGTAGTCCTTCTGGGTTAGGTTCCAAAGAATTTCAAAGTGATCCACATCATGGAGCTCTTCAAAGGAGGCTTTCCACCCTCCTCGGCGCAGAGTCTGAGTAGGAGAAACTCAGGGAAGAGGAAGCATGAGGCTGCGGGGGGCTGGGGGGAGAGGGGCTCTCGCAGCTGCCCGGCACATACCCGGTGATAAGTATTTATTGAAGAAATGACTGGTATCGTGGGGTCCGTTTGGGTGAAAGAAACGGGAAGATAATAAGACTGCATGACCCTCAAGCTTGAGCCAAAAGCGGGGTGCTGGGGGTACCTGATAAAGTTCCCTGGACTGTCGGTGGAATTCGGGGCTGTCGTGTTGGCCCACAGTCACCAGGATGCGGCAGGCTGGATCCACAGGCTGTGTCGGGGCTGTCTTCAGGTGCCACTGTGGGCTGTTCCTTTGAGCATCCTCCCTGGTGCAGGGAGTAAGTGTGGTCAGGACCGAGAGCAGCCTTTGCTGCAGCCCTGGCCCGCCTCGCAGGCTGCAGGCCAGCTGGGGGACGAGGGGACAAGTGACTCACAGGGTTGTGAGGAGAGAGGCGTTCTCAGAGGTGTGCATGACAGGCTCCAGGTCATAGATCCCACTCACCAGGAAGAAGCCTGTGAAGGTAAAGAACAATCACAGAGCCAGGCTGCAGGTGGGGAAAGATGGGGCCAGCCCGCCTCCAGGGCCAGTGGGGCAAGACTAGGGTAGGGGGCAGAGAAGAAGCAAAGCAGGCCCTGCTCCCCAGGCTCAAAGCCCCGAGGTCAAGCTACTCACAGCTGTTGAAATTTCAAGCAGCTGTTACAGACCCTCAGGCCCATCAGGGGAGGGTGAATGCTGCCCAGCCAGGCTCAGTCCCCGTGGAAACCTTTGAGGTTGGGCGTGACTCCATGCTTGGTCCAGTTGGCCAGGAGCATCATGGCGGCGAGGTGGGCCCCAGCTGAGTGTCCGCACAGGTAAATTCCCCTTGGATGGGTCAGAGCAGAGAGCTGGGTTTGCATCCGGTATAACCAAAGCAACAGGCCAGTATCAAGGAGTCCCAATTTGCCTTTTGCTCCAAAGCCAGAGGGGGCAGTTGGGCTGCATCCAAGAAGCTTAATCCACTGTCCTCCCACTCAGTCTGACAAAAGGAAAATCTACAGTGATACCCACTGGTTGCCTGGATACTGTTTCTGGACAAACACGATGCTCTGGGTCACCTGGTCTACCATCTGGTCCAGGGTGCCTGTGCAGAGGGTAGGAGCTATGTCAGGCTCCGCCGGGGGCCCTCTCCCCTCCAAGGCCCACCAGCCCTTGCACCTGGAAGACTACCCTCATTACCTTTGGGGGCAATGTCATAAGCCACTATCACCACAGCCACTCCCTGTGCTGTCAGTGGGCTGACCATGAAGGCTGACGAGTCTTTACTGCAGAAGGAGACAAAGACATGACAACTGGAGGCCACTTGGCCACTAGGCTGCTTCTGTGTCCTGTCCACCCAGGGCACTGTCCCTCTCTGACCTAGTGCAGTAAGGGAAGAAGGGAGGCTTTGTCCTTACGACATCACATGCTAGCTATGGGACCCTAGAGACTATATTTAACCTCTGAGCCTAATTTCCTCCTCTGTAAAATAGGAACAATTATGTTTTTTCTCTTAGGGTGCTGTTTTTGAGAATTGAAGGAGGTGAGACATGTAGAGAGCTTCACAAAGCAAAGGGTAAAAATGCAATAAATGTAGCATTAAGATGATATGCTTGAAGAGCAGTAGATCCTATAACAGGCAACTCCTTAGTAAGATCCTAGGGAACAACAGTGTCCCTGAAGATCCCAGATTCCCCTCTGCTTATCTTAGGATGACCCGTGGTCCCAGTTTGCCTGGGACTCTCTCTTTTTTTTTTTTACCACTGAAAGCCCCAGGTCCTGGGAAACCACTCACTTCTGAGCAAACAGGGATGGTTAGTCACTGTGGTTTTCCATTTGATTAGAGTAGACTGAACAGGCTTTTCACTGTGTATAGTGGATCCAATAGTGTCCCCCCCCAAAAAACATGTCCAAATCCTAAACCCCCGTACCTGCAAATGTGACCTTATTTGGAATAGGGGCTATGCAGATATAATTCAGAATCTTGAGATGGCATCATCCCAGATTTAGGATGGGCCTTAAATCAAATGACTGGTGACATTGTAAAAGAAAGGAGAGGGAGGATTGAAATACAGACACACAAAGACCATGTGAAGACGAAAGTTGAGGTTGAAGTGATGCGGTCACAAGGCGAGAAAGACCCGGACACCCCAGAAGCTGCAAGAGGTAAGAACGGGTCCTCCCCAGAGCCTTGAGAGGGAGCGCGGCCCTGCCCACACCTTGATGAATTTCAGACTTCTGGCCTCCAGAACTGTGAGGTAAGACATTTCTGTTGTCGGAGCCCCCAAGTTTGTGGTAAGTTGTTGCAGCAGCCCTAGGAAATGAAGAGTCCAGGCAAAGATGAATCTCCCTTTTTCTCCATTCATCCAAATCCCCCGACTCACCTTCCACTCTGCCAGTATCCTCCATGAAAAAACACGAGGAACGGCAAGGCTGCAGGACAAAACAAAGGGCGTGTGGGCCGAGGCAGGGCTCCCAGCTGAGATCCATGGGGGACCACTAGCCCCCCGCTTACCTTCAGACACTGCCTCAGGAAAGTAGATGTCCAGTTTCTCCCCTTCGCCGTCTCCATAGGGGACATTGAGCAGGTTCCTCCCGGTGGCCTGGGCCCTCTTAGTAGCTGTCTCCAGAAATGGACAAGTCGCTGTCAGCACAACCTCAGGCAGAACCTTTTTGCCGAAAGCCCCTTTGGGTTGACCAGTTAGCTCCAGCTATCAGTGCTTCCCCAAGTCTTCATGGTAATCGGGGCTGGGGGGGGGGTCTGAAGCATCCCACAGGTGCATAGTTACAAAGAAATCAGACTGGCTCATCCAAGTGGGGGCCAGTACTATCTGTGACGTCTGTCTCTGGTGAGCTGGCAGCTCTGATAGGCACCATTTCGACCACTACTTTATTACATGCTTATTATGTGTGTAACACTTGGCTATGTGCTATGGGAAGTGTAAACTTTTCCAAGTATTTGGAAAAATAACCTTCTAGGAACTAAGACATAAAATCACTTGAAATAAATAGATAATAAAACAATATGAATATATAATTGAGCACCATGATGGGAGAGGTCAGAGGGATGTGAAAATTGGCTAGGACTGGGGTCAGGAGAAAGGAGGACGTACAGTTACGTAATTTACCGTAAGTAAATTAAATACCAAAGGCAAAGGCCTAGAGGTCGGACGGGACTCTGTATGTTCATGTTGCAGTAAACAATGTCCTCTCAAGGCCCCACTTCGATCACTGAAACCCAGGAAGCTCAGCTCCCTCCACCACTGGGTGCCAGAGAGTGTAAACTGGTAAGTTCTTCCTGGGGGGCAACTTGGAAATACGTATCAAAGCACAAGATCATATTCCTTGATGCATAAGTCCTTATCCATACATTTATTATAAGGAAATAATCAGAAATATTCTTAAGGACTTGTTTTAAAGATGCCCACACTAATGCTATTTAGGACAGCAAAACATTGGACACAGCCCAAGTGATCTACAATAGAAAACGGGTAAAATACATTATGGTGTATCCCCTTTCTCTCCTTTATTTATTTATTTAAAATTTTTAATTTTATTTTTTTAAATGTATTTATTTATTTTTGGCTGCATTGGGTCATCATTGCTGCACGTGGGCTTTCTCTAGTTGTGGCAAGTGGGGGCTACTCTTTGTTGCCATGCGCGGGCTTCTCATTACAGTGGCTTCTCTTGTTGCGGAGCACGGGCTCCAGGCACGCAGGCTTCAGTAGTTGTGGCTTGCGGGCTCAGTGGTTGTGGCTCACGGGCTCTAGAGCACAGGCTCAGTAGTTGTGGTGCATGGGCTTAGTTGCTCCGAGGCATGTGGGATCCTCCTGGAGCAGGGCTCGAACCCATGTCCCCTGCATTAGCAGGCGGATTCTCAACCACTGCGCCACCAGGGAAGCCCCTCTCCTTTATTTTTTATCCCAGCATTCATTAATCCTTCATATATTTTTTATTTGTTTACTGTCTGTCTGTCACCCTAACTAGAACATGAGCTCTGAGAAGACAAGGGCTTTGCTTTGCCCACCTCTGTACACCCAGGACCTGGTACATCATAACCACTTAAAAGAAAATTGTGTAGGGACTTCCCTGGTGGCACAGTGGTTAAGAATCTGCCTGCCAATGCAGGGGACTCAGGTTCAAGCCCTAGTTCAGGAAGATCTCACATGCTCCCTGGTCAGGGAACTAAGATCCCACAAACCGTGTGGTGCAGCCAAAAAAAAAAAAAAGAAAACTGTGATGCTCTGTGGTGACCTAAATGGGAAGGAAATCCAAAAAAGAGGGGATACATGTATATGTATAGCTGATTCACTTTGCTGTACAGCAGAAACTAACACAACATTGTAAAGCAACTATACTCCAATAAAAATTAATTTTTAAAAAGAAAAGTGTGTAAAAAAAAAGAAAGAAAAAGAAAATTATGTAATGAATAAATATTTCAGTGAGTAGTGTTGGGTCAATTGAATATCTGAAAGAAGAAAAAAATAGTTTCTTGATTCCCTACCTCACACCACACCAGATCAATTCCAGACGGACCACAGCTTTGAATGTGAAAGCGAAGACAATAAAGCTTTTAGAAAAGAAAATAGGAAATCCTAATGACCTTGGACTAGGCAAAGATTACATAAACAGGACCCAAAATGCATTAATCAAAAAGGAAATACTGGAGGGAGAGTATTTTGCCATGTAAAGAGCGAAAGCAGGTTACACAAATACCATATAGCACGAACACTGCAATCTTTCCGATACTGAAGATTGATGGGAAGAGACCTTCAACTTGGGATCCCTGTCCCTGGAAGCCTCCAGATCCCCAACCTCAGTGGCCACGGTCCCCCCGCCCACCGGCCCCTTCCCAAAAATACTCACCAGGGCTCCCTTGGGTTGGGTGATTCTGGAATTCCAGAAAGGGCAAACTAGGTAGATGAAGATAGTTTGCATAGATTGTGTTTATGCAAGTGTGAATAAACTGTTAAAATGGGCCGCCTCCATTTCTGCTGGACTGCTCAAGGCCTAGAGAAATAAAAATGATGGCAGATGCCAAGTTTCCCACGTGCCAAAAGCAGGGACCAGGCTGCCTCTGCAGGACAGGTGAGGTGGCTGAAAAACCAATTTTGCCATCACCAACACCCCACCCTTGAGTGAGGGAACAAGGCCAGGGGGAGGCTTCTTAGGAAAGCGATGAGGCTGGCTGTGTTCTGTGGGTTCCCACTCCCTCTCCCATGGAGGGGTGGAAAGGGGCTTCCCATCTTCTAAAGCTTCAAGCGACCAACTGCTCAGAGCCTGATGTGTGACTTCTACAAGGACCAGACTCAAACAGGTTTCACCTGCCCCCAGGTGCCACGCTGGGTGCAGACCACTCTGAAGGACACACTTAACTGAATCAATCCATTGTTAAATAGGTACGTTTTACTTGATTAGAACCATGAGATTCTGTTAAGCAAATCAAATGCATTGCATTTGCGATTATAATTTGAAGTGCTTTTTTCAGAATTCCATCACATCTTGTAAGTTGCGTTGAAAAGTTGACGGGAATTTAATCTGTGAAAGTTATGAGCTATCTGAGCATTAACTTAAAAAATAAATGAAATGCCATTCATTTCCCTTTTGAAGAAATAATAGCTTATCTGGTTAAAAAAATATACAACAGGCATTTGCATGAAATATCCCTGCCAAGGTGACTGTTATTATTAATACAGATATGGACTCTCTCTCCCTTTAATCCAAAGGGCAGCATATGAAATACATTTCTGCCCTGCCTGTTTCACTTCATATTTCTTGGAGAGCTTTCCCGATCAGTACAGAGACAGCTTCCTCGTTCTTTTCTTTTTTTCATAAACAGTTAACTTGCTCTTCCATCCTATGGCTGCACCTTAATTTACTTAACCAGTAGTGACACTTTTGAGGCCAAACAAACCACATCTGATCATCAGTAAATCCTCCTGGCTCCCTCTCTGCTTATCCTGAATACTGAGTCTTCTCCCCACCCCTACTGAGACCACCCTGGATCCCCTTCACTACTCCCTTGGAAGCAGGGACAGTCCTCTCCACTCCCCTGCTTTCACCAGGGCTCCGTCCTGCCACACGTGTGCGCCAGGTATAATTAGCATTACATCCTGCTGATCTGAGGCGGAAATTCAGTCTGAGCCTCCCGTCTTAGTTGCTGAAGCTCTGCCTTAACGAAATGCCATACAGTGGGGGGGCTTCGACGACAGACATTTATTTCGCCCAGTTCTGGACACTGGAAGGCAGGGTCAAGGTGCCAGCTGGGGTGATGTCTGGTGAGGGCCCTCCCCAGGGGTGGCAGATGACCTTCTCGCTGTGTGCTCCCGTGGCCTCTTTGTGCTTGGGAGGAGCTCTCCCTCTCTAGGGAGAGGAACCCTCTGTGTCTCTTCTAATAATCCTACTGGATCAGGACCCCATCCTTACGACCTCATTTAACCTTCATTACTTCCTTAGAGGCCCCATCTCTAAACACAGCTACAGTAGGGGTTAGGGCTTCTACGGGTGAATTTTGGGGAGACACAAAATTCGGTCCATAACAGCCCCCACACTCCCCCCAAAGGCCCTGGAGCTCCCCTGCTCGCCTTCTCTGAGGGGTTGGCCAACCACCCTCCCACCAGCACTGTGTGAAGGTGTTTGTTCCCAACAAGCTCGTCAACACAGCAGGCTCAGCAAAGGGGCGCAACTTAATTAACCAAGGGTTCTGGAAGTGTAGGTGGACCAACAAGATTTATGCTGTGCCAAAACTAAGAAAAAGATGATACAATTTATGCCCTAAGCTGAAGAGCAATTAAAACCAAGCAGCTATCGATATTCGTTATCATGCATAAAAAAGTCTTCCTCCAGTATTAAAAAACCCAACCGACCCTGAGCCAGAGAAACTGCCTCTCTCCAGGAGGTGGTGTGACGGTGATGGCGGGCAGCTGGCTGCAAGGACAGAGAATGGGGGGACCCACTGCCTCCTCCAGAGCGTGAATCCTGCCAGCCCTCCAGGCGCTGCACTTACAGGCAGCACAGGAGGGCTTCAACAAGACACCCCAGCATAAACCCTATTACAAACTTCCTTTTTTTTGAAAAAGCAAAACTTCGGTTTCTATTAGTCACAGTCCAAAGTGTCACAGCTCTTACAGAGAGAAACTCCAGGTCCCTGGACCCAAGTGAGCATTGTGTTAGAGCAATTAGGGGGAGCAGGGGCCAGAGTCCCTAGAGACTAATGCAGGCGTGGGGCGGGGAGACCCATCAGATCCTCACAGAAAGCTGAAGACCAAGGGTTCATCACGTCTGTGGCAGCAAATTTAAGAGGAGGCTGGGGCCCGTCAGCCTCCGTCTAGTTTCAGAACGATTCTCCCCCAGTCTTTTAATTCATTTAGCAAACAAATATAAGCAGCAGCCTTGTGCCCATTTTGGAATAGCGTAGTGACAAAATAATAAAAAAATCCAAATCACATGTGGTTTACCCCTTAGTGAGGGGGACAAGCAGTTACAGAAAGATGTCAGGTGGTAACACGAGGTGTTACAGGTGGTAAAAATGAGCCAGAATCTGAAAAGGCTACATAGTGTATGATTCCAACTATCGGACATTCTGGAAAAAGTAAAACCATGGAAACAGTGAAAATATCA